CCATAACCTCCAAATCCAGAGCCGTAGCCTCCATAACCTCCAAATCCAGAGCCGTAGCCCCCATAACCTCCAAATCCAGAGCCGTATCTTCCATAACTTCCAAATCCAGAGCCGTAGCCTCCGTAGCCTCCAAAGCCACAGCCACAGCCCAGGCCACCAAAGCCACCAAAGCCTCCATAGCCGTAGCCTCGGCCTCCATAGTAGCTGCCGTAGTAACTCATGGTGTCAGGAATTGGGGGTTTGGGTTGAATGGAAGGAGTGTTTCCCAAGTGTAAATGTCACCTTCTGCCCAAGGACTCTTATATAGCTCAGAAAGGGGTGTGGTGATAAATACATACCTGTATAATTCTCATTCCATGGCCTCAAAGACATTAAAGGCATTCTCTTTAATTTCTTTGTCTTCCAATTTAGAACTGTTTGAACAGATTCCAATGAAATACTCTGTGTTCATGCTGACAATGATTATTTTGTCTTCAAAGGCACATCTGAGTTGAGTGCTGCCATAAAACCCTTTGGTCAGGCATCACAGCTCCTCATTGTCATTCAAAATGATGGATACGATCTATTGAATGATGCCAGCATCCTAGGGAGCTATATTGATTAGATGGTAGGGCTAGAAAAAAAGATGTTGATGATGCTTGTTTAAATTCCAAAGTATGCTACTTTTCTAGTTCACACTATTCCATTATGATTCTGAGAATTTAATATTTCTTACTGAAATTCAATTGTTCAAATAGTTGACCGCTATCAAGTTCATGGGATTTTTTTATTATACACTGAATTTATAATATTTTCTCAAAGGACTGAATTTGGCAATGAATTTAATAATGAATTTCCATTCAATTTACCAGCCTGGTCTACATCATGAAAGAACTTAACATCATACTCTTGTTTTTATAGTTTTAGAATTTATTATTATTTTTTAATAGAGGTAATGTTAACCTACATTGTTGCTTGTCGGTTGAAATAGGGTCCTCTGCTTCAGATGTTACTATCATGTACCTTCACCACTAAGCCACACATAGTCCACTGTGCTCCCTCCCAACTTTGTTCTCATCCCTCCCCCTCTCCTATCTTGAACTTGTTGTATTGTTTTTTGAGCCAAAGAGAAGCCAAATAAAAGATGTATTGTCAGAAAGAATCACTAGATTGTCTGCTACTTGCCTATAGGTTCATTTTTTATAATAAAATCACCAGTAAGGCAAGCATCTAAATTATCTAATGGAAATCAGTATACCTGAAAATGATACAAAACAATAGTTTTGTTGCTGATGGGTAACAGGATCATTTTTGCACTCAGATCACAAATTGTAAACTTAAATTACACATTCAGTATCTCACAAAAGCAAAGAATGTCCATTGTTCCCTAAATGGCAGGACTGTCAACATTATAAAACATAATCTAGCTAAGATTTCAATAAGCAAGCTCTCCAGAAACTTTGATCTTCTGAGTCTTGAGTGCGAAATGCCCTGAAAACACATCAATTACATCATTTCCTTAGGGATTCTCAGACACAGAATTAACCCAAAATAAAATGTGTGTGATAAGGGTCTATCTCTGACCTACTAGGAAATCCAGGATGAGAATTTTCTTTGTTAAATGTAGTGACATTTCCCTTGAAAGATACAACACAAAAAAACCCTGCCTAAGACGTTTTTTTGCAAAGTAATTTATTTATAATAAAATTAGTAATTCAAAGCAATTTCACATAAATACCTTTCTTTGATCTTATCAACAACTCTGTGATTTATAGCTGAAAAATGTTTCATTTTGTAAAAAATATTTTCCATTTGGAAACAGAATTATGCAACTTAGTAATGATTTCTGAAATTTCCTTAAAGTTCTATGATCCAAGAAAAGTGACCTTAGTGAATATCACTTCATTCTTAATTCAAATTATGTGGAGGAAATGTCTCCAAAAATACTTAAGAATCAAAATATAACAGCTAAAAATACAGTTTGGATTCTAACCAAGACTGGGAAATGAATTCCTAATAGTTTATCAATTTTTCATCTTGCTCATTGTTTCAGCCATTGGAAGCTCCAATTAGCCTAATCCACAGCTTTCTTGGATCACAAAATCCTATCATATTAATGCAATGTTTTCTTTTAACAAACATCTCTGTGAGGGAGAGCACATCTCTGTGTGAGGGAGTCTATTAATACAGGAGGCAAACACAAAGCCTGACCTCCAACTTGTCCAACGATGGACAAAATCATCTCCACCAGCCGTGCACTGCCACCACCAGCGACGGTCACTCACAGATCTACCGCCTAGCTCTTCATGCAGTGGGTCATTTAGATCTGAATTATTTTCTCCATAAAAGTGGACAATTTTTTGGGCTCTCTCTGGTGGCTCAATGGGCTAAAGCACCGCATTGTGAAGGTCTGCGAAGTCACCGCGGCACCAGCGCTATCCCCACCCCAGAGATGACCTACATGGATCTCTCCTGACCCACCCGCTGCTCCCCTCGGCAGTGTACTTCGTCAATCTGCCTGTTTTGCTCCCCACTCTGTCTCTGGTGAAGCCTCTCAGCCACTGCATCTCTGGCCTGTACCCCAGTTCTAAAAGCATAAATAAATAATTTTTTTTTAAGTGGACAATTTTATGTAGTCCCAGCTATTTATCCTTCACTTCACTATTGTTGCTTTGGGTCATGTATCTTTAAAGATATTATTAAGGTGTATGTCATGCAGAGTTTCGCCTACCTTTTCTTCTAGATATTTTATGGTTTCAGGTCTTATGTCTAGTTCTTTAATCCATTTCGAGTTGGTTTTTGTGAACGTGAGGATGTGGAGAAAAAGGAACTCTCCTACGCTGCTGGTGGGAGTGCAAGATACAACCACTATGGAAAGCTGTTTGGAGGTTTCTCAAAAGGCTAAAAATACAGCTTCCATATGAACCCCAGCAATCCCACTCCTACGTATCTACCCAAAGGACACAAAAGCACTGATTCAAAAGGACACCTGCACCTCCATGTTTACTGCTGCTCTATTTACAATAGGGAAGTAGTGGAATCAACCTAAATGCCCCCAAATAGAAATGGATTAAAAAGATGTGGTACATATACACAATGGGATATTACTCGGCAGCCAAAAAGATAATCTATTGCCTTTTGCAGCAACATGGATGGAGCTGGAAGGGATCATGCTCAGTGAAATAAGCCAGAAAGAAAAACAAAAATACCAGATGGTTTCACTCATAGCAGGAACATAAGGGATCAGGGGGGCAAAAAAGAGAGACAAAAAAAGGTCGTTGAGTAAAAATGAAAACCATGAACAACTATAAACCAGAGATATTTTATGAGGGTGAGAGGGAAAATGGGATCCGAACTGGGGTGGAAAGAGTGCACGGGACTGTGGTGATGGCAAACCAGTGAAGTGGTGGTGGGAAGCCCATGGGGATTATAGCTGAGATGAAAAAAATGCACAAAATGAAGAATGATATAAAATAATAAAAACAATAATAAAGTGGAAAATTATAGTTCCCAGCAATGTGATACAACAAGCCATTAATTAAAAAAAAAAAAAAAAAAGGCAGCACCCATGCCACCACATTGCTCTCAGTGCTTAGAAAAAGTGCTTGTTTTTTATACTTCAGGTGATTCCCTTACTTTTGTACTAGAAAAAAAGCCAGCAGCCATTAAAGCCTGGTTGGAGAATGAGAATAATCTTTTGCCAGGTCTACTTTCAATTTTTCTGCATTTAACAATTTGAAGATTAAATGCTGGAACTCAGTTTCCCCAGCAAGATGTTATATTGAAATTAAGCTTTGGGCAGATGCCTCCAAAGTTCATCAATGACCACCCTGTAGGAAAAGGCAGCAGCAACAAGCGGCAGTAACGTGAGAACCCAACAGCTCCCATCCCATCATCGTTGAGAGTTGCAATAAGCCTCTCCAGCACCATCCAGAGGAGCATGGTACAATATCAGTTTATTATTTCACCATTTGTTGTAACTGTCACACCATCTCCCCCAGGTCCCATTCCCAAAGGACAAAATCCTTGTGCAAACATTTCGGATGCCATATTTTGGGGAGTTCAAAACGCTGAAATCTTCCACAGAAAGACAGCTCACTAGCAACAGGCAGAAGGTGCTATCAAGTATTTGTATAATGCAGGAAGCTGATGAGTCCTAGCTAAAACAGTGATAACTGAAAGGAGGTTCAGACAATTAGAAAGCCTGAGAACCTGGAATACCTGTAAAAAACAAATGATCTAAAAGTAAACCCCAGGTGAAAAGGGCTCAGGGGCCCCGTGGACTACGGTGGGGGATTATTGGGGCTTTAGTGGTGGTTGTGGTGTAATATAACGTACGTTTATGACGGTGGGTGTCTCCATCCCCAAAATAAATGCAGGGGCATAAATTAACGTGATCTAAAAAGGTGAAAATAAGAAAAATACAAGTATCGATCAGGAAATAAATTGGCAAATGCACTTCACTGGTTTTAAATTCAGACAGTATTCAGTTTTACTTTTGAGAGACAACACCTTTTGAGAAGCAAGAAACCCACTTTACAGGTTAGAAGACAGAAGAGCTGATTAACTTCTCAAGAAAGCAGAGTAGATTCCTCTCTCTCTCTCCCCTACCTACCTACCCATCTATGTTTTTAATTTGAGATATAAAAGTGACCTCAATATGCATATCCACATGGGGGATTGGACATTTGAAGATTCAGCGTGTACAGGGCATTTATATAGTCATTTTTGATTTTACGTATTAATGAAAATATTTTTTCATCACTGTAGATTTACTGTATATCTGAGCTAAGCCCCAGATATACACACCAAGGCCCACTATGCTTATTGGAATAATGTTTGCAATTAGTTCATTGTTTAACTCATAAAAATAATTTGGATAAAATGATTTTAAAAAGTCAAAATCGCACGCATAAACCATGGCAACGGAAAGAAGGATGGATGCACGGAGGATACAGGCTCCTGTCCGACTTCTCACCTCACTCCTCAAGTCCCGGGGCAATGTCTTACACATACAGTGAAACTTCGGTGAGTCAAATTCATTCATAAACCAAAACACCAATGAATCAAAACACCAGTTCAGAAGAAAGAAAAGCAGCGTCCTGACGTAAATCCTCTATTACCCATCAGAAATATATCGAAATGAACCAACCAAACCACACTTTCTAGGCCAGTCAGATACCTTTATTTAAAAATCTTTCAAAAGACAGGTTACACATAATCCCACAAGATTTTAGTGATCGGATTATAATGGATGAAACCCTGATCAGTGCAAAGGTTCCAGATTCTTCCACAGAGAAAAGGACTAGCTCCTTGGTGGGGCAGTAAGGTCAACAAATGGTGCCTATTTTCTCTTCATCAAGAAAGAGAAGCATGTGGCCAGCTGCATGGGGAGAGCGGATGGGAGCATCTACAGGTTTCTAGTAGAAGCGGGAGAAGCCAGAGCCGTAGCCTCCGTAACCTCCGTAGCCGGAGCCGTAACCTCCGTAGCCACCGTAGCCAGAGCCGTAGCCTCCGTAACCTCCGTAACCTCCGTAGCCTCCGTAACCTCCGTAGCCTCCGTAACCTCCGTAGCCTCCGTAGCCTCCGTAGCCTCCGTAGCCACAGCCACAGCCCCATCTGCGGAAGCCGCCACAGCCGCAGCCACAGCCCAGACCCCCGAAGCCGCCATAGCCGTAGCCCAGGCCGCCATAGTAGTTGCCGTAGTAGCACATGATGTCGGGGAGGTGCGTTCGGTTAGCGGCTGAAGATTTTCCTCAAGTTTGTGTCACTAGCTTCCTAGACGGCTTTTATACCCTCAGAAGTGGGTGTGGCAAACGTCAGTGACGAGCGATCTCATTTCCATATAACAGAATCATTTAAAGTCTACACATTTTTGGAATAGTTCTTTACTTACTTAGCAAAAGGTCCAGATTCTTATTCAAGGACCTTTGGTAATAATAATTATTTTTCAGCGAGTTTGCATGCCTAAGTACAAAATGCTTCCAAGATGAAAAATGATGATATTAGCCTCTTCAAAGGCCATGCTGGGGTTCTAATTAAAATGGTCTAATCTGGTTGATAGCTTCCAGTAGCCCTGTAATTACATAACCTCAGACTGCTCCTCTCTTTAATTTGCATTCCATTGTCTTAGCTACTTATCATTCCGAAGACCCAAGGTCTTTTCTCCATGGTGTTCAGGACAAAGGTACAAAGTCATTAGTGCTTTGCTGATATCAAATTTAGAGCAAACCTCATTTTTCAACTTTGGTTTTTTTCTTTTCGCTTTTTTATTCTGTTTGTTTTGGTTTGTTAGACTTTTCTTGACATTTGGCATCGCTGCCCTCCACCATTCGTTCATTTTGCTAAGCTACTTGCTCACTTTTTTCTACGGCAAATTTTCAATTAGCTTCCTCTTCCAATTCCTTATTAGTCTTCTTCACAATTCCTTATCCCTCCATTACCTTTAAAAGTGTCCTTTTCCTTCTGTATTCAAATAATGTACTTCACCATGGAAGTTCACTAAATTTTTTTTTTTTTTAAGATTTATTTACTTACACATACAGATCTGGGGTACAGGCCAGGGTGCAGGGGTGGTAAGAAGATTCACCAGAGACAGAGTGGGGAACAAAACAGGCAGATGGACGAAGTACACGCACTGCTGAGGGGAGCAGCGGGCGGGTCAGGAGAGGTCTGCCGCGCCATGTGGTCACTTCCGGGGCAGGCGGGAATCGAACTCATGCTGAAGTGACTTTAGCTTCTTAATGTTGTGCTTTAACCAGCTGCGCCACCAGGGAGGCCCTAGATGTTATTTTTAATAACAATGAATATACTAATGACTTGCAAAAGATGTTTTAAACTTCAATTACAGTGAAAACTGAAGATCTCCAATTTGAACTATGTTCAAATTCCATATCATCTTCCCATAAAACTCTTTGCTGTTGTATATCAGTCACTCAGCCACGTACCAGGCTGAGAGTTTGAAATTCTCTCTTATATTTTTCTCTACTGACCACCAGTAATTTACACCCACTTGGTCACCCACTGAACCACTTAAATGAGATTTCATTAATACTATCCAAATTTTTCATTGTTGTCATTCGTTCAGCCTTTTATCACTTTCACCTGCATTAATGTAAGAAGTTTTCTCAATGTTCCTCATGCTCCCAAGAAAGACCTCATCTCATATGTTCTCTATGCTAAGTTCAAGTTAAAATACTAAAAAAAAAAAAAAAAAAAAAAAGTCTGATCATTTTATTTTAAACACACTATTAGGAAAAAGATTAAATTCCTTAAGTTAGCCAAAAAAAAAATTTTTCATCACCCAACTTATTTTTTCTTTATTCTGGTTTCTTACAACCTGACAATTAAAGCCAGTGAAAATGGTGAATTTTAATGTATAGGTTAACATGCTTAAAAATGGATTTTAAAGAAGAAAAGGAAAAAATATATATTCAGAGCATCCAGAAAAAGATCAAATAATTTAAGACTGAAGAATCAAACCCTCTGAGGCAGATTATAAAGCAAAGCAATAGCTTTAAAATTTTTTTCCCAAAAATCAAGGAAAGAAAATATGAGCCAGATATTTTATATTAAATGATTATGTCCATCAAATATTCCAGCTATTTAAAAATTTAGTTTTTAGCTAATCGAGATGTTAGAGATTACTGAACACCTGAGGTCCTCTTGATCAACCAGCTGAAGATCCAAATAATGTGAACGCTGGCCTAGGATTATGTTCAAGAATTAAATCTATTTCATTTTATCTCAAACAAAAACCAAATGTAAAGACATGTAAACATAATACAGTGTGAGAAAGTAACTGATAGTTGATTAAGAGATAATCTTCAATGTTCATCACTCACAATGGACAAATAAGAGAGAAAACTTAAAGAAAAGTCTTCCGTGATTTCTGTGCCAACTCATGCCCCACCGACAGCAGAGAGGGTTTCCATTCAGTCCACATTCTTTTCGACACTGATTTCTTATCTTTTGGTAGTAGCCATGTTCACAGGTAGGAGGTGATGGCTCATTGTTATTTTGATTTATTTCTCTAATAATAGATGAAAAATAAAGATCCACTGACACAGACAGGGAAAGACTCAGGGTCAGGCAGCAGCTAGATTCTGCTCCTTGGCAGCATCATCTGGCTGCTCATTAGCCTCAGATTCTCAACAGAAAAACAATCCCCAGACTTAAGGTTTATTTACAATAAGATAAAGAAACTAGAAGAGCTTCACAGAGGACTAAAAGCATTCAGAGAACATCAGCAGTGAACAGAACAACCCATTTGAATTCTCTTTGAACAATTTTCATTTTCAGCCAGGAAATTCCATTAATCACTAAGTGCCAAAATTGACTCAGATACATCTAAGGAGAGGGGAAGAGGTTAAAGGTTTATAATTAATCTTTTTGTTGTTACCGTGTATTTAATATTTTGATGCTAACATTGCTTTCATAAACCTCAAAGATTTTTAAGTTTTGTTTTTTGTTTTTACATAAGTACAAATGCAATGCATATCTATAAACTAAATTTATACTAAGGAGATGATTGTTCATTACAAATTATATAATAGATTATTCCCCAATTATTATACTTATTAGTAATAATTAGATATGGTCAAACAGTTTTCTATATTACTAGTATATTAATAGTATATGACACTATATGATTATTATGCTATAATTATTAACTCTACTTTTATTATTTTTGCCTGGTGAAAATTGTTAGGGTAACAATAAATGAAAATGATAGAAGAAGAAATTCAGTCTATGTAAGCTCAAGAAAAAAAACATTTATTTTGCCATCGAGTAGCATATTAGTTTGGGGGCAAAGTTTGGGGACAAGGTTTGTTATTTTTTTGTGGTTCACTTTTTGTTCTAAAGAAAATGCATTTCCATTCTTGTTACAAATCAGGGAAAAAGCACCCTGAAAATCAGTGACTTTTACCGGACCTCCCAGGCAATTGAGTTCAGAGCAAATCTCCATGCAAGCCTGGAAAAAGTGGGTGTATTTAGACTCACTGCCAGTTCTGCTTCCCTGGAACAGAAGCCACTGGTGTCTGAGCTGCACTCGCATGGTAATTTTGACTTTTTTTTTTAAGATTTATTGTATTTATTTATGTATACAAGAACTGGGGTACAGGCCAGAGGTGGGGGGTGGAGGTCGTGGGGAAGGATTCACCAGAGACAGAATAGAGACAGAGTAGGGAGCAGAACAGGTGGACTGACTGAAATACACGGCTGAGGGGAGCAGCAGGGAGACAGGAGAGGTCTGCTGTGCCCTGTGGGTCAGCTCCCTGCCCAGGGATTGAACTGCAGTATATACTGCAGTGGCTGCTGATAGTGTGATAGTGCTGAGATAACTCCTTGTGCCACCTGGGAGGGCCAATTTTGGCATCTTTTATTGGAGGTTGAGTGGCACTACCAGGAGAAACCCATGGGGGCCAAAGATTTAAGGGCCAAGTGGGTACCTCCAATAATTTCTTCAGGTTTTCATGGTCAAGTTCAAATCAAATGAACTTCCTGGTTCTGGCAGGGGGGAAGGAAAAGCAATCACTCCAAAATACTTTTAGAGTCTCCATAACAAAAGGCAACTCAACAAAGAAAAATACCTAGATGGAGCTTTATCCTGGGGAAAAGGAATTACTTCTCCTCCATCCCTGGTGAGTGCCCAAAGCTCACCTAAGAGGGAGACATACAAGCATCTGTAGGGGACAGAACTCCGGTTAAGTAGACTGGATACCAGATATCCAGGGAAGGCGGTAAGGACCGGAAACAGGGACACTAAAGCGCACTTGTGATGTCAGCCTGGAGGTGCAAGACCACTAAGACACTGAGATTTAGTAGTAAAATTGCAGAAGATCTTCTTCCTAAACCTTATCACAGCAACTGGGTTCCCGTAGAATCGTGGGTCACAACAGAAGAAGCTGCTACACACTCTCTGAAGAAGAGCACTTAGAAAATTCTAGTCAGAAGGAAACTAGCCTGTGACTCCCACAGGGGCAGCCCATTGAACACAACCCAACTCCTCACAGATCAGAGACTCACAATCAAGGTCTCTACCTCAGCTCCAAGTTCCAAGTAAAATGCATCTGACTTTCAGCAACAAAAACGCAAGACATGCCAAAAGGCAAGAAAAAGCAGACTTGAAAATGAATCACCACATTAGAATCAGATATGACACTAACTAATAGGCAAAGAATTTCAAAGAAACTATGGATAAAACATCATGTGTTTCCCCCACTTATTTTGCTTACTTTATTGATGTGGGCTTGTGTGTTTCTAATGTTAAATTTTCTTGCATTCTTCAAATAATTCTCAGTTGACTGTGCTATATTACTTTCTCCATATATTGCTAGATTAAATTTGCTTTCATTTTTTTAGGAATTTTGAATTAATAGAAACACTGAGGTGTGACTTTCTGTGATAAAAATACTTTAATTTTGAGATTTTGCTGGAAATGTACAGATGTGTTCCCTCTGTTGATTACTCATCTGGAAAGCCATCTGACCTGAAATTGGTATTTTGGGCAAGATTTCTAATCATGGGTTAAATGTCTACATGGGATTCAGAAGCATTTATATTTTTACTTCATTTCCTATATATATATATTTTTAAAGATTTATTTATTTGTGCATACAGAACTGGGGTACAGGCCAGAGGCTCAGGGGTAGCGAGATGCTTCACCAGAGAAAGAGTGGGGAGCAGAACAGGCAGATCTACACTGCTGAGG